ATTCTGTGTCTCCTTCTCTCTCTGCCCCTCCCCAACTTTTGCTCTGTATCTAAAAAAAAAAAAAAAAAAAAAAACAAAGAAGTTCTTTATGTATTTATGCGAAAAGATCTCTAAGGTTTATTGGTATGTGAAAAACGCAACGTGCAGACCTGTGCATGTAGGAGAGTATCGTTTTGTCAAAACAGGAGGGAAAGCATGTGCCCGTGTGGACCGTAGTATTTCTTTGGAAGGATACATAAGAAACAGATGATGTAGGTTTGCCTGTGGGGTTTGAACTGAATGAAGTACAAGACAGGAGTAGGAGGAAGACTTCTTTTGAATTTAAAAATTCAAGAGTAACATGTATTATGATTCAAAAATATACATACATACAGCATAAGCCTTATGAATTTCAATAGAATGGACACCTATGAATCCCGATCTAGAAATAGAAGATTATCACTGTTTGGAAAATCCCATGCCCCCTCTTTTCCACTCTTTCCCCTCACCATTTCTTCCTTCCTGAAAACATCTACCTTTGCATCTGTTCCGTAACTTTCTGTAAACTTTTCTCTGTTTGTTTTTTTTTTTTTTTCCTCTGTCTTCATACACTTAGGCTTGTTGAGTGCCCCAATCCATAGTCACCCTGGCGCCTTTCTCCAGATCAGCCTCTGGAATCTTTCACTCCCACAGGAGCGAACAAGCCCGATGTCAGCCCTGGACCCAGGAGAGCAGACAGACCTCGAGAGACAGAAGGAGGGAAGCCTTGTGGGAGGGGAGCCAGAAGAGAAGGAGGTCCCCCCTTCTTCCACGCTCATCCACCCCAACGACGTCCTCAAGATCCTGGAGGCCTTTGTCATGGGTCTGAGGAAGCCCAGGTGTGGTGCTGGAGGGCTTGCCCGAGGCCTGGGGAAGCCAGGCTGGGCCGGGGCCGAGAAGATCCCAGTGCGGGGCAAGCACCTGGGCAGGAGGAAAGGGATGGGGAGGGCTGGAGGCGTCAGTGGACACAGATGAAAGGAAGGGGCATAGAAGCGATTTGCATTTTCTCATTCGTCGTTCATTCCACGGCCATTCACTGGGGTCTGCACTGTGTCAGCCCGTGGAGATCACACCTTGTGATCGGGACCATGGTCAGAGCCTATACCAGGTGTCACCACCGGCAGTCAGAGAGGGCTTTAGGAAGAGACGCACCAGAACCGGGTTTTCCTACATGGATACAGTGGGGGAGAGAACATTTCAAGGTGTCACAGTGTGGGGAAAGGCCTGGTGTGTTCGAGAATCGTGGCAGAGGTGTGGCTGGTGTCAGGGTCTTCCCTGGGAAGTGGGACCGGTGGGTAGGGGAGCCGGGCCAAATCTCGGAGAGCCGCGCCTGCCATGGCTGGGACCTTTGCCTTTACTCTTGGGTGGACCGGAGCCACAACATGGTCTTAAGCGGTGGGGGAGCCATGATTAGGCTTGCATGTTAGAAAGATCCATTTGGTGGCAGGGATGGGGGTGACGCTGGATACAAGGAGAGCAGCCGGAAGGTTCGTCTAGGTGGAGGCGTTGATATCCTGGGTCAAGGCTACCCTCGAGGGGATGCCGGAATTTGAGAGCCGTTTGGATGCACTAGTGAAGGAAACGGGCATCGTAGTGGGATGTAAAGCCAATGAGGTAAACTGGCTGAGAGAAGGGGGGTGGATAGAACCCCAGTGATGCTTTCACAAAGGTGACAATGGCACCAGAATCAGGAACACTGATGATAGGCATGTGCACTTTCTGAGAATCAGCCGTAAACCGAGACACTCGCACAGCTGAGTGGGAAGGGGACAGGTCTGCAGGCAGAAAGCCCGGGAGGGACAGGCACTGTGGCTGGCGCTGCGTGGGAGCCTGGGGGGGTGCCAGGTGGGGGTGACGATACTGCTGCTCTTAACTCCCAGGGACCCCCCGGCCCCAGTGAAGGTGGTGAAGTATGTGCGAGACACCTCGAAGGACTCTGCGTATTGGGAGGCCCTGGCCACGGTTCTCCCTTACGCCACGCAGAACCTCTGGGACGCTCTGTACACGGCCTTGGAGAAATACCAGTAAGTGTGTAGGTCACAGCCCAGGAGAAGGAGGGAGCCAGGCAGTTGATGGAGAAGGATCCTGCTTGCGGTGGTCACATTTGCCACCCCCCTGGCTTGGAGACAAAAGCTGTCTTTGGAGGGAAAGCTCCTGTTGGGGGGTCATGTGGCGTTGGGTGGCTGGCCCCTCGCTCCTTATTCAGTTCCTAGCCCGGTGTGTTGGGGGCAGGAAGGTTGCTCGGGTGGGTGAAGCTTCAGGGCTCCTCTCCCAGCTCCAACCGGCACAGAGACATAGAGATCCTGGCCCCTGCCTGGTAGATTTGGAGGGTTCGATGAGCCTCTAATGGATTTTTCCGCCCAAAGCCTCGTCCTGACGCAGAGGGCCAAGCTGCTGATAGAAAACAACTCCCTGGAGAAGCAGAACACAGAGCTCCAGATGCTGCTTCAGCAGTATCTAGATTCCAAGGTGGGCGACGGGGACGAGGAGGGTGGGCAGGAGGCCGTGGCAGGAAGCGGGACTGGAGGCGATGTTAGGAAGTAGAGTCCCATCCCTCACTGGAAGCAAGGGAGGCTTGGGATGTGCCATGACATAGCAACCGTCACACCTCAAGTTGGGCCCGAATTATCGGACAAGGGAGTCCTTTGGACTTTGGATGCTGCCCGAAGTCTCCTCCAGGACGTGTGGGTTGTAATAGTGCCCTTTTGATGCCCATGGTCCTTGGTGCCAGATGCTTGTTGGACGTCTCTCGGAAGCAGGACCCGACCCCACCGAGAGCGTCACAGCCCAGAGAGCCCTTCCTTATGGAGTTTCTTCTTTGGTCTTAACATCCCCTCTGTGAGGTCGATAGGGCACAAGTCATTCTCCCAGAGAGGAGAATCAAAACTGGGAGACTCTTGCCCACTCTGCTGGGCCAGATTGTCTGGCCCGGGATGTGACATGGCGAGAGGAGGCTCCAGCTGGGGCAGGTATTCCCCGGTCCTCACTCCTGCCCACTCCGGTGATATTTGGGGCAACTTCCCCATGGCCTGCAAGGGAAGAATCTCACCGTCTCTGCTTCTAAGGTTAGAATCCCTTCGTAACATAGTTGCTGGCTCTGCTGTGCTAGTGTGGGATGCTTCACGCGGCGCTGAGACCGTGGGCCGGGAGGGTCATGACACCCTGGGCTGGGGGTACGCCCTCCATCATCAGCTGTGTGTGTGAGAGGTGACCGAGGCCAGCCACAAGCCCGGGAACTGGGGATGTGTGGCCCCGTAACAGTCACTAGAGGACTGTCCATGCTGTCGTCGATGCCGCTGTGTGCAGAGGATGGGGGAGGAGGAAGGAAGGGCAGGGCTAGACTGGGGATGGGATGCGCAGGTGGTGGGAGGGGGTAGAGGGAAGATGTAAGACAGTGGCTCAGGGCAGAAGGTTCAGAACGTTACCAGAGGTCAGCTAGCTGGAGCAGAAGCCAAACAAGAAACCTTAGGACTTCTCTTCCAAAGGAAGGCAGACC